GGGGAGGGGAGGAGGGGCAGGAGGAGGGCCAGGGCGGGGGGAGGTGAGGAGGAGGCGGCGGCGCAGCGAGCTCGCCGCTCTCTCGTGAGTGTGCCTGCGCGCGAGCCGGCGAGCGGGTGAGTGCGCTGGCAGCTACCGCTTGGCTGGCCCGCGCGGAGTCGAGGTCGGGGGGCTCTGGGAGGCCCCACTTGGGGGGCGGGAAGCTGGCGGGTGGCGGCTGCTCCGGCGCGGCCGGGATGCACCTTGAGCGGCGCCTTTCGTTGCAGCGCGCGGGTGGCCCGAGCTTCGGCGGCGGCAGCAGCGGCGGCGGCGCTGACACCTCCCACCATGGACAGCTTCGACTTAGCCCTGCTCCAGGAATGGGACCTCGAGTCGCTGTGGTGAGTACCCGTGCCGCCACGGGCAGGCGGGAGCGGCGAGTGGCGGCCGCGGCGGCCCGCGCGCCCTCACCTGGGCCGGGGGGCTCCGGGCAGCCGGCCGCCGTGGGGGTGGGGTGGGCCGGGGGTGCCCGCCTCTCCGGCTCCTTCCTGCCTCCCTCGGGTAGATGCACCGCTGCCTTCCCGTCTTCTTGCCCCCTTTCTCATCCCCTCCCCCCCGGTGCTGCCTGCACCAGCCCAGGGGCCAGTGATCTGGGGTAGCCAGAGGCAAAGCGCAGCCATGGAGAGAAAAAGAACCGATTTCTGGAACATGTCACTAGTGCCTGGGGATCCACCCCTCGGCCCCTACCCCCTCTCACCTCCCATCCCTCCGATTGCGCCCCTCCCTCTTTTCCAAGAGATTCTGGTTCGCACCAGAGGCCCCCTGGAGTTGGTGCTGCCTCGAAGTGCCCTTAAAGGATGCTCCAGCCTGCTCTCGGTCTTGGCGGCTGCATCCTTTCTGTCTCACCCGCCCACCCACTTCCACTCAAGATGGAAAAGTGAACACCCAGGGTAGGAAGGTCAGGGCAGGAGGCGAGTGTTTCTCCGTGCGGGAATTCCAGAGGCCTTGGCTCAGGGAGACTCATTTCCTCGAGGTTCACAATTCCTCTGGGCTCTTTTCTTCACACCTCACCACAGTTGTACTCCTCCTTCTCCCCACTCCACCCCAACGCCGAGTCCAGTGTCTCTATGCCACGCTCACAGCTCGCGGCTTGGGGAGCGGGAGGCTGGACATAGCACTCCGGTCTGTTGCTCAGGTTTCTCTTATTGAGGAGCCGCTGTAGTTAAATCGCCGCTAGAAGCAGTTTAATTCCAGTTGCGGGTGTCTTAAAAATCCCATTGGTTGCTTCAACATCTCTCTTATCGCCCCCATTCCCCAATATCTCCCAAATGTTTCCAACCGGCCCTATTCAGGTGGTAAAATTACTGCCTGCATATTCCTGGAGGAACTTGTGTTATGTTTAATATTTACGGGGACGAACATCTGCTGGAACAAGCGTATTAACTGCACTCTGTTCTGCCTCTGGTAATCGCTTATTTGTAGAACTGTGGTTTTTTTTTTTTTTTTTTTTTTGCTTTAATTCAGTAAAGAGTTCACATGTGTTTAAAACTGCAAGTGGTGTGCACATGAATATTCAATGTACGGTTTTAAAGCTAAACTGCTTTATGATTTATAGACCATATAGATGATATGTGGATGTGTGGATATTTTTAATAATTTAGGCATCCAGTGATTTTTATTTTTCTAAAGACAGGTATAACAAAATAAACTGGACACAAAGCTAGCACGTTATCGAGCAGTTTCTTGTAAAAGGTCCAATGATGAGTAAGTACAGCTTGCTCTGCATAATGCTGGCGCCTATAAAACACACAAGGATGGGTCCTAATGCAATAAAACTTTTATATATTATATTGGAAACTTCAAAGAGCCAATGTGGAAAGAATATGAAACATATTATTACTCTATAAAAGTTGCTAATTACTGTGTTGCTGCTCTTGGGGTTATTTCAGCCTTTCATTTACAGATACCTATTATTTTACAGGTTTACGCTTAGAATTGTTGGTTTCTGGCACAAGTTCAAAAGGTTTCCAGATAGAAACTGTACTTTAAAAATGACTTTTGCTTTTAAAAGGCCTATCTTCAGTCAAAGGGAGAACTTAATTGCTTCAGGATATTTTTATGCTGCTTATCTGCTTGCTGAGTCAAATCGAAACCCCTTCATGATTTTCAAAAGTAATATTGGGAGATTGTCAGTCATAATGTTTGCACTCTTCCAGCACAGGGCCTGGCCTTCATTCTTCTCTGCATCCTTTCTGCCCAGTTGAGTTACCTGGAGCACAGTCACTTAAGAAATGTCTGTTGAATTGAAATTTTTATCAGCTGCAGTACATTTATTATTTTTTAGAAATGAATAGCTTGTAAAAAGTAGCTGTACCTGCAATCCGATTTTAATTAATGCATCCATTTATTTTTAGCCTATGAAAGAGTGCAGGCATTCCTGATTACAATATTGTAGGACAGTTTGTCATGACTGGGGAAGTAGTCCTAGTTTTGCAGATGTATCATTTACATTTTGTAAATGTGTATGTTTGTGACAATTGAAAGACAAGCAAGTCCCCTTGTGTTTGCATTTCTAACAGGCATTTTCTCAGTCAAGTTGAAGAGCTTTTGGATGGTATTGCCTAACTCAATTTTACAATTTATTTTTAAGTTTATCGCTTACTTTTTAAGCTTATAGGTAATACACAACAACTACAATTTGAGGATTTTCTATGTGTCTGATATTTTGATATTTGTTATTTCCTTATTTGAATTCCATAACAATCCTGGAGGTGGTTCCCATTTTATAGATGAGGAAATGGAGACTTTAAACTGTTAAATGACTCTTCTGAGGCAATAAAATCAATGACAGGAGCACTTTTTTTAAAAACTCATATTTGTTGAACATTTACCAGACACTGTTCTAAGTATATTACATGTTTTAACTCATTTAATCCTCCCGGTAACCCTATGATGCAAGAACTATTGTTATTCTCATTTCAGACATAGGGAAATTGAGGGTCAGAGAGGTCAGGTAACCTGTCCAACATCATACATCTACAAGTGGAGGAGCCATATTTGTACCAGAGTTAGCTTCAAAGCCCAGATTTCTGGCTTTAAATTCATTGCATTTATTTTCTGGAGTACTAACAACAAAAAGGACAACAACATAGAGGCCTTTCCATTTATGAGGGCAGTTCTGAAAATACTGAGCAAGACTTGGATGGACTGTAAGTTAAGGTTCTGTTAAAAAAAAAAAAAGTGAAATCTGAGGCCTAAATTTGTATCGATCGAAGGTTTAAAATATGAAAACAGAATAGCATATTCAGGAAAGAATGCCTCCCCTATATTCATTAATTAAAACAAACTTTAAAGACCACTAAAAGGTTTTCCCTTTAATTCATCATCGGAAAACATTTTTGGGGAAGTTTCAGATTAATGGCACAAAAGAATTATATTTTAATGCTTAAAACACTTTTTCTGATTGGTGGGCATCCTTTTCCAGTAAAATCACAGTTTGTTACTTGTGATATGGCTTTGAACCTGAGCTAGCTTATTTGGGTGGTCATGGAAAATGTCTATGAATGACTATACAAAGAACATTAAAGGAAAAAACTCAGTAATGTTGAATACAGTCAATGTGTACAATTAATTAATGATTCAAGAACCATCTCTTTTGCTTCTTAGCATACCAGTTCCTCCCATTCTACCATCCCTCAACTTAGAAATACCCATACTTAATTCTCAAGATGGGTATTTTGAGCCTGAATTATCCAGGTAGCTATTTTAGCTTTTGTTTTAAGCTGGACCTTAAAGTTGAGAAGGGTAGTCCAAATTTGCACTTCTAATGACCACTTCTCATTTCTGGTTTAAAGCAGGTGTGGAAAACTTGAAATGAGGTGAAGGTACTCATTCTGCATCTAGCTTCATTGTGTAGAATTGAATCCCTGCAGAGTAGGGGGATTCATTAAGTTGATTGGAAGAGATAGCAAGAGGAGCAGTGGCTCTTGTAAACCTCCTACCCTACAGCCCCTGCTTGTCCTCCTGTTCTCCACAAGCCTTTGATCAGCTTCTAGACATAGAAGCCATTCCTTGGGGCCTTTAATGATAATTTTAAGAGGCTTAACAATATTATTTACTTAAATAATTATTGATCATCTATTTAGTACCAGACCTTGTGCTGGTTGCTATTGGGGATACAAAGATGAGTAAAACATGGGTTGTACCTATTATTATCTAGTAGGGAAATGAGACAAGTACACAAATTAAAAAGGAAGTTTTCAATACTGGTGATTCAGAAGAGAGAAAGACCATATTTGATATTAGGTTGGTAGTGGGGGAGGGAAAGAGGAAAAATTGAGCTTAAAAAAAAAAAGAAAAAGGCTTCCATGGAAAGGTGGCCTTTGAACTAAGCATTGGAAGATGAATGGGATTTTTACAGACAGTGGGGGTGGGGGTATTGAGAAGACATAGAGGCATCTTGGGCAAAGAAAAAACTTGAACAAAGGCTTTCATGGTGTCTCTGAAAGATCCTTTTATGAATCATGATGGAATTACCTATATCAAGTATTTTAAAGATTCAGAACTTTGTAATCATGAGGTGGTTTCAGTGAATGAGAAAAGTTTTCCAATATGAGTTTAATCAAAATTGTATTTAGTCTTCTTTAAATATGAACACATTTTACTTATTGGGGGTGGTCTATTGAAATACAATAGTAAATTTTCAGATCCTCCACGTTGCCCCCCATAGCTTCACATAAGCCAGAATCCATTTACTTTTGTTAAAATAGGCATTATACAGTACTTTGTATTCTTTCAAATTGGAACCTTTGAAGTTGTAATAAATGGATTGTTTCATACTCATCAGTTTGTTCAGTAAGCATTCACAGAGCATTAGGCATTACTGTAGGTGCAGTAGGGCAGTGGCTTTCAAACTTTTTAGACCGTGACCCACAGTAACAAACATATTTAACATTACAGCCTACTACACTGGTGTGCATGCAAGCACACAAACACACACACAAACGGAAACAACGTTTCATAAGACTCCTTTATTATGTGATGCACTTTGATTTTTTTTTTTCCATCTTTTAAAATTTTTCCATTCATGGGTTAAAACCCTTTAAAAAAAAAAAAAAACCTTCCTGTTTTGTTTAGGGGATGCTAAGGAGAGAAAGTCTCTGCTGGGAGCTTACAGGAGAATAAGCCATACACATAAATAACTGCAATACAAAGCCTGCTCAAGGGGGGTACGGGCACATCCTGTTGTGAGATTAAGAGATCTTCCAGGCGGAGTGGCATTTGAAATGGATCCTGGACAAGTAGAATTTTAAAAGGAGGAGAATAAAAGGGAAGACATTCTATGCAGAGGGAAGACTTTGAATAGAAATATGGAAGGAATAAAGTTGGAAGCGTGTTTGGT